CCCCTATGCCCCCTACCTTGGGTGCTGGGGTGCGTCCAGGTGGCCGTGGCCGCGATGCGCAGGGGGCAGCCGTTAAAGACCTTCTTGAAGAGGGATCCGTCCTGGGGGGACGAGCAGCGACGGGGGCTGAGTGGCTCCAGGCCCTGGCCCCCATCCCCCACAACCGCCCCCCAACAACCTCCCCCCCTCCCGCCACCTCTCACTCCCAGGCTGCTGGGGCCGGTGCATGGTCAGGAGACGGAACCAAGCTGGAGCCAGGGGGTACAGAGAGCCCGAGACGTGGACATGGGGCAGCAGGGCCGGTCCCACACCCGGGCGCTCACAGCCCACGGGACAGCAGGGCCGGTCCCACACCCGGGCGCTGTCTATAGCCGAGGGCTGTGCTCGGGGGGGTCTCACCTGTCTCCGTTTCTTCTCTGTCTTGGGGGGCAGGACGGGGGGCTCCTCGCTCCGGGGTCCGGGCCACAGGGTGGGATCTGGGGATGGGGCGAGGATCAAAGGGTGCCTGTGTCGCTCTGGCCTGGCTCCCCGAGCCCCCAGACCCAAACACCGGCCCCACGGAGACGTGCCACGAGGGCTGCACTCAGCCTCAGTGACTCCTGCGCCCCACGGGGGGGCTCAGACCCCCACCCTGGCCTGGGAGCCCCTCACTCCCAATCTGCAGCCTCCTCCCCCACATTGCTCCTCACTCCCAACCCGCAGCCCCCTCCTACCCCGTCCCTGCTCCCCCAGCTCTGCCGGTGCCCCTCAATCCCGACCCACAGCCCCCTACTAGCCCAGCCCTAGGCTCCCCCCCAGCTCTGCCGGTGCCCCTCACTCCCAACCCGCAGCCCCCGAGCAGAAGCCCTGTTCAGCCTCCCCCGCCCCCCGACTCACCTGAGCTGGCCGAGAGGTGGGAGCGGCGGGGGTTGGTGTGCTGGGTGGGGTGTGGGGTCCGGCTCCCCACGGGCCCGCTGGAGCACCGCACCAGGGAGACCGGGGTGCCGGGGCGCTGCAGGAGCTGCCCCCCAGGCTGGGGCCGCGTCTCCTCGGCGGGCGTCTCATCGGACCGGCTCCGGAACTTGGGCTGCAGACGGGGGAGGGTGCGTCTGACGGAGACCGCAGGAGAATGGGGGGGGCGTGGGCCTGGGGGGAGCCCCCGGGGGGGATAGCAGCCTGGCTGGGCGGGTGGGTCTGACGGAGGAGGCTACGGGCTGCTTGGAGGGATGGGGGTGATGGGGGCGGGTGACACATGGCCAGAAAGGGTTAAACATCCTGCAAAATAAATACCCCTCAAAAGACACGTTTGTGTTTTTGTGTATTTACACACGTAGGAGTAGGGTCGCCGATGTAACCACCTGTCCCTGTCTAGGCTGGATTCTGATCGTTCAGAGCTCACAAGAGCATCCTGGCGTTTAAATGAATCGTAAACACGGGCTAGCTCAGTATTCATCTCGCCTTGAAATGTTCCGGGAATGGCGGAGGAACCAGCTAACTAAGGCCCGGTGATGGACCCCTGCCAAGTCAGCCTGGTTCCCTTCCGTCCCCGAGGGAATCCCAACTTGTCCAAGGACATGACATTGTATCAAAGGCCCTTGGGGCCCGATTCTGCCAGCTCAGATCTGCTGAGGCGTCGTCAGGGGACGTTCGAGTCGCATGACCGAGGTCCCACTGATGTGGGTACGCCCTGAGTGTGAGATCTGGCCGTTGGACTAGGCCCTAGGAACGCTTTCTGAACGAACTCTTTGCGGCTACAAAGCTCAGCATCTCTGCACCTCAATGGATTGAACTCGTCCGTAGGATATTGATCTTTTAACCAATACGCTGTGTGTTGTTTTTTAATGAAGTTTAGTTTAGTTAAGACGAATTGGCTGTAGCGTGGCTTTGGGTAACCTGGGAGGGGATGTGTCCGATCCCTTGGGACTGGCAGAACCTTTTCTTTTATATGATGAATAGGATTTTCCCATAGATCGTCACATCTGACGTGGGTACCTGGATGGAGGCCTGAGGCTGGGTCACTTTGAGGGAACTGCGTTGTTTGCACTGCCGAGTAACCAGGAAGCTAATAAAGAAGCTACAGGCTGGCTGGGGGGTGGATCTGATGGGGGGGCTATGAACTGGCTGCGGGGGGGCTAGGGGCTGGCTGGGCCCATGGGTCTGACGGGGGGGGGGGGGGGCCCCCGGGGGGGGGGGGGGGGGGGGTTGACACAGGAACTACAGGCTGGCTGGGGGGGGGGTCTAACGGGGGGGACTGGACAAGTTTCCCATTGCTTCAGCCCTGGCATATCCTATGCAGCCTCCCCCCTCAGTGGCCCCCAGTGGGCACTCACCTTGGGGGGCAGTGGGGGCGGCACGTCAGCGTCGGCTGGCAGCGTGGGCCTGGGGGCAGAGCACAGCGGTCAGCACAGGTCCCCCTGGAACACCCCCATGCCGCAGCCCAGACGATCGACCCGAGGCTGCCCCCCACGCCTGGCACAGGAAGCCCTCAGATCCCCAGCCCCCGGGGACTCTGGGCCACACGCCCTGGCCAGGAGCCCACTGTGCTGGGGGGCCAGGCCTCGGCTGCCGGGGTCCTCCGCACCCTCCTAGGAGCCCCCCAATCCCTGAGAACTGGGCATGATCCCCGGGTCCCCCACTACCCACATGCCCCAGCCCCCCATGGCCTGGCTCAGTTCACGTCTGTGGCAGCGGCTTGCGGGGCATCGGGCAGTACCAGCCCGGGGGCACTCGGCCCAGGCCACCCGCCACCCTGTGAGCAGGGACAGGCGACGGAGCCCCAGCCCCACCCCCAGAGCCTGATGCCGGGTGTGGGGGCACGTACCTGGCCGGGTCACAGCTGCTGGGGCTGCACGACGGGACCGAGGGGGAAAGAGAGAGATCATGAGTCACTGACCTGACCCCACGTGGGATCCTGTGGGGAGGGGGGGCAAAACCACCAGCTGCAGGGGAGACGGGGGGCAGGGCAGGGCCGCAGGGAGTCAGGGACAATGGGGGGACAGGGCTGAGCCGCCGGCTGTGGGGGGGGGCAGACGCCCAGCCCCATGGTTGCCAAGGCTACACACAAATCCATCTTAAACCTGGTGCTTTTCCATTTAGAAGGAGGGGTGGGGACCCAGACAGACAAAACTATAAAAGGGGGTGGAGCAGAACAAAGGGGGGCCAGTCATGAGAAAACCCCTATTACCACCTGAGCTGGAACTAACAAGGACGGTACCAGGGGACAGGATTGGGCCTAGACTAGGGAGGCGTCTAGTCTGTGAAAGAAGCTTATTGGACCATCTCTGAGGGTGAGATTTACCTGTATTCAGTTTCTTAAATGTATTAGGCTCAGACTTGCGTGTTTTGTTTTATTTCGCTCGGTGACTTACTTTGTTCTGTCTGTTATTACTTGGAACCACTTCAATCCTACTTTTTATACGTAGTGAAATCACTTTCGTTTATTAATTAACCCAGAGTAAGTGATTAACACCTGGGGGAGCAAACAAGCTGTGTCTATCTCGCTATCAGTGTTATAGAGGGCGGACAATTTATGAGTTTACCCTGCATACGCTTTATACAGAGTAAAATGGATTTATTTGGGGTTTGGATCCCATTGGGAGCTGGGTGTCTGGGTGCTGGAGATAGCTAACCTGCTGAGTGGTTTTCAGTTAAAGGCTGCAGCTTTGGGGGCATGGGTCAGACCCTGGGTCTGTGTTGCAGCAGGCTGGCGTGTCTGGCTCAACGAGGCAGGGTTCTGGAGTCCCAAGCCGGCAGGGGAAACGGGCTCAGAGGTAATTCCAGCACGTGTGACAGTCCCAAGGGGGTCTCTGTGACTGAACCCGTCACAGTTCTGTCCTCCCCGTGCCGCGACCAAGCTGAGCCCCCTTGGGGGGGGGGGTCCCTGCAGCTGGACGAGCCCCGGGGGTGGGGGAGGCACCTACATGTCCACGTCGTCGTAGTCGTTGTCTGAGTCCGACACGTTGACCCTGCGAAGGAGCCGGAGCCTGAGTCTGGGTCTGGCCAACGGCTGGCGCCGGGACAGGCCCCAGGGCCAGCTGGAGCAGCAGCCTGGAACGGGATCCTGGGCCAGGCCGGCCCATCTCCTCCCCCCACCCCCAAGCGGGGCCCATGGGCCGGCCCGTCTCTCCCCTCTCCCAGCGGAACCCCTGGGCCCGCCCATTTCCCCCCTCCGCCAGGGGGCCCCTGGGCTGGCCCGTCTCCCCCCTCCCCCAGCGGGGCCCCTGGACCGGCCCGTCTCCCCCCTCCCCCTAGTGGGGCACCTGGCCAGCCCATGTCCCCACTTCCCTCCAGTGGGGCCCCTGAGCCGTCCCTTCTTACCCCCCGCCCTGCAGCAAGGTTCCCTTGGTCCAACACCCGGCGCCCAGCGAGGCCCCAGGGCTGCCCATCCCCCCCCCCCGGGGCCCCGGGGGCTTTTACCTGGCCCTGCCCATGGAGACGGGGGCGCTGCCGCTGGGGCCGTAGCTGAGGTC